TGCTTTTTCACTGAAACTGGAGTGTCAGGTTTGAGATGAAAAGCAGACTGCGGAGAGGCAGATTTGTAATGCTTGGCAAGATCAGGACTGTTAGGCTTAAAGGTTGATGGTGGTGCTGTGCCCCAATCAAATCTTCCTATACTTTGCTCCTCCAGCTCTGCTGGAAGGCTTATTGTCCCGTTGATAGGTTCATGAACTGCATCATCAGGTTTGGACTCCTCAATGGTCACAAAGTTCAAAAGGGAGCTCTTTGGAGATTTCCTTTTCTTCCTTTTCTTTTTCTTGTTTTGCTTGTTTTCTTGATTGGGAGACATCCACTCAGCACCTTGCTTGCTCCTCTGGGCAGCTTTGAATCTGGAGGCATGCCGACAGCGAACAAGAACTGTGACAAATATCACCACTATGACAACCATGGCGCCCGCCACAATAGCAATCATGATTGTGAGATAGTCCTCATTTTGGTAGGGCTGGCTACTGTCCCCTATGTTCCGATCCAAAGGTGTTTCCATAGTCCTGCGTATCAAGTCATAAATATAGGAGGCATTTCCAGCAGTATCATTTACATATAAAAACACAAGCACAAGAGTATGCAGGGATTTGGGATAGCCCAAATCACTTATGTTGACAACTAAGCGATGCAGCCCCACGTCATTAGGAGTTGGTTTTTCTTCCAGAGTGATATTGCCTGTCACTGGATCAATCCGAAACAAACCCTTGTTATTGCCGCTTACTATGGTGTACTTCAGCTCAGCGTTCATGCCAGTGTCTATATCCACAGCAAAGACTTCGGCTACTACTGATCCAGGAATTGCTGAGAGTGGCACTAGCTTAAAAGAAGTATTAGAAGGTGGGTAGATGACAACAGGACTGTTATCATTAACATCCATCACGTTTATTGTCACTTTCGCTGTAGAAGAGCGAGGAGGTTGCCCTCCATCCACTGCCTTAACATCAAAGGTGTAAGAGCTCTGCTGTTCTCGATCAAAAGAAACGTTGGACTTTATAACTCCAGAGTATGGATCCAGCACAAAGTTTTCATTGTCGTTCAGGATGGAAAGGGTCACTGCTTTATTTTCCCCAGCATCTGCATCAGTCACTGTGATCACTCCCACCGTGCTATACTTTGGTAAGTTCTCCGATACGAAAAACTGGAAATGATTATGAGTAAATTTGGGACTGTTGTCATTTTCGTCCAACACAGTAACAATTACAGCTGCTTGACTCTGCAAAGGAGGGGTACCGTTGTCTCGGGCAGTAACAGTGAAAATGAAACGTTCCTGCTCTTCTCTGTCAAAAACTCTGGAGGCTGTCAAAACTCCTGTCTTTCGATCCAGATCGAAAAAGGAGGCATTAGGACCAAGCTGATAAACAATGTCTGCATTTTTCCCACTGTCTTCATCTGTGGCACTAATAGTTGTTAAGTATAGACCACGTCGGTTGTTTTCAGAAACTGACAGCTCAATTACAGGCTGGCTGAAAATTGGAGGGTTGTCATTTTCATCCTCCAGCTTAACTCTTACCAGGGCAGTCTGGTTCAAACTGGGCTTGCCAGAATCAGAAGCCACAATTTTAAAGCTGAATTCTTTGGTGCCCTCATAGTCCAACAAGGAAGAGGTCTCTAACAAATACTGGTTGTCGTAAACTGCTTTCAAGTGGAAGGGGACCTCTCTCTCAATGAAACAGATCACTTTGCCATTCACATCAGTGTCCTTATCTGAAACCGTAATTAGGGCAATCTTTGTATTGATGGGATCTTTCTCAGATAAGTATACTGTGCCATTGATGGGACTTATTATGTACCTGAGGTCTATGTTAGGAGGGTTATCGTTTACATCAGTGACATTGATGGTGACAGTTGCCCGGGCTGGTGTAGAGCTACCATCACTAGCCAGCACTGTCACTTTGTGAATAGCAGTCTCTTCTCGATCTAAGGACCTCTGAACTGTAATCAGCCCTGTGGTGTTGTTTAAAGCAAAAAATCTTTTGGTTGCAGGGGCGACTTGGGCACCAAAAATATATCTGATTTCTGCATTGCTTCCTATATCAGCATCTGTAGCATGAAGCTGAATTACAGAGGTGCCTACAGGGGCATTCTCTGGTATATGGACCTCTACTTGACTCTCTTTAAAGACTGGCCTGTTATCATTGACATCACTTACTGTGACTTGCAGGATAGCTGTGCTGGATTTCTGGGGAGTACCTCCATCCTCCACTTTGATTTTCATCACGTAGGTGTCCTTTTGCTCTCTGTCCAAGTTCTGCTGCACAATCAGCTGAGGCCATTTCTCCCCTTCTGGAGTTTCTACAATATCCAGTCCAAAGACACTCTGCCCGTTTAACAACTCATAGTGCTGCACACCATTGAAACCTGTGTCAGGATCTGTTGCTGATGGGATTGGAAAGCGACTGTTGATCAGAGTGTTTTCTGGGATGGAGATATTGATGACAGGGGATGGAAACATAGGCGCATTGTCATTAGTATCCTTTACAATGATTTTTATTTTGATCAGCCTAAAAAAGTCATTGGGGAGAATCACCACTTCAAGTTCAAAGAAACACTCGTTTTCTTCTGCATAGGAAGCTCCAGCACATAGTTTTTCTCTGTCTATTCTGTTAGACGTTGTAAAGATTTCCCCCGTGTTACTGGACACTTTTACCAGAGGTGCATCCCCTGCTTTAGACACCAGTCTGTAGACAAGGCTGGCACTGGTCCCTGTGGCAGCATTGATATGAGAAATGTTCAAGTCCTTTGGTATGTTCCCTATGGGCACGTTTTCAGGCAGCTCCTCTCTAATAGTGTAAATAAGTTCTTGAGCTATAGCAGAATCCAGCCTTAAACAGGCAATCAAAGCGGCCAACAGGTAAAAATCCCTCAGGTCCATGATAATGTTTTTATTCTCTTTTCACGGATTTTAGGACTTAAAGGTTTCCAGAGAGGAATGATGCGCGATTTGCAAGAGGAGGCATGCATGGACTGCAGGATGCATTACATCTCATTTCTTATTTGGAGACATCACTGTCAACACAACCACACAGAACAGCATTATTGTTTTTTAAGGCATGATAAATCCACAATCTCCAACTACTACTTGTTTTTGCAATGCATGCTTCCAGCAGTACATTTTCCTAGTGCTCCCTTTTACAAGCAAGCCCTCCGGACAAATGCACCAATATCCCATCGGCTGCATTTGCTCAGAGCACGAATGAAAAGAACTACTTGCAGGATTAAAGGTAGCTACTGTTTCGACACGTACTTTCTGAATAATTTCTTGGTACACCGTGTAATCTATAACGTGCATTCCCCCTCTACCCTCCTCCACCCAATCATTTGGTGCAAGTAAAAAACCTTCCCGGACTACTTCTGGATTCTAACTGCTATGTCAGCTGCCAAATGTAATTTGCTGTTTGCTTCCACACGTATTTTTTAGCTCTTGCTAACCAGATTTTTCTCTGCTCGCTGTGCCTTGCATGCTCCTCTGTAGCTATCGTACTGGGAAATAACCACCCGGACATGCTGCTGCTGCAGCAGTCGTCACTGGCTACTTCACATCCCTGTTAACTGATGAGACAATAACAGGACTTACAGTTTCTTACACTCTCAGCTCAATGTTTCTTCTCCAGATGTTGGATACTTCTCCTTCTGTTTAATAACCTAAAACTTTATCTGTTTTTAAACACAGTCTAAATCAGGAGGCTGGAAATTCCAAACGTAACTTAGAAGCAGGGAGCAGGTTTACAGATGGGGGGAAATATACATTTTCTGATGATATGAGGAGGAAAAAACGGTGCAGCCTTTCCCCGTTGACACTGATCTCCCTTCAGGATGATATTAGCAGCTGCCACATATAAATACTGCAGACTAATAATGCAGGTGAAAGAAAAAAAAAAAAAGGAAAGCGACTGACAGACTTCTGTTTGCATGCACTGCTAACCGCGAATTATCGGGGTGCAAGGCTGCCAGCACCTACAGTTTGACGGAACTAGGCAGCCCTAAGCACTAATCTTATCTGCATTAAGCTGCACGGTAACTGATGCCTGTGATTACTTCCAGCAGAGTAATGCAGGTAGGGATGCAGAGACAGCGAGTAGGTGAGCCTTTCCCACCAACACCAACTGAATCCCAAACACTGAGTCTTTCCCTAGACGAATATACTGCGTGTTGGCTTTTTTTTTTTTTTTTTTTTTTTTTCTCTTTAAAGGAAATGCATCCCAATGTAAGGGTAACTTTGCACTTACGTTAGTTGTCTACCTTTGACGATCTGCTGCAGCTAAGCAATGATCTGTTCCAGCAGATACAGCACAATGCATCTGGTAAACCACCAGTTTTGGAGAAATCAGCAGCAGCCAAATGCTTCCTCCTCGAGATATGTGTTGCTTCGGGGTGGCAAATTAGCAACTCCAGGGAACAAATTCACAGTTCTGTCGTTAGTCATCCTCTCCACGTTTGACTCCTATAAAGCAGCGATCCTTTGGGTGCCTAACGTGCACGCACAACCCAAACAAACAGCAAGAGAAAAAAATCCGGTGCACTTCTTAGAGCGGGGGTATTTTCCACTCTGCACTGCACACCATTCCCGTCCCTCTCTCGGCAGAGCAGAGGCAGCTACATGAAGTCTGCAACTTCTGACTGGAAATGGCAAGAGTTGGTCTGGCGGTGCTTCTCCCTCTTTAGCTCTGGGGTGACAGTTGCCAAAAAAAAAAAAAAAAAAAAAAAAAAAAAAAAAAAAAAAAAAAAAAAAAAAAAATTAAAAAAAACCCTAATAGGTTATTGCTTTAGTGACGGGAGGAAGCGGCGGCGCTTTCCCTCCTCCCTCCCTCCTTCCCTCCCTCCCTCCCAGCCTCTCTCCCTCACATACGCTCTCTCCTTCTCCCTCTCTCTCTCTGAACTGAAATTCTTGATATAACTCTCAATAAGCCCAGAGGGAGGGTGGGAGCGGAGCGAGGCCACCCCTCCCGCCGCACCGCATTGGCCCGCTCGGGCGGGGGCGGTGGCTGGCGAAGCGCGGCCGCGGCATTGGCCGCCGGGCACGTCGCTCCCCGGGCCGGCCGGGCGGAGGGGGCTGCGCGCCCCGCGGAGGGCAGCGCCGGGGGCCGGGGGACGCGGGGAGGCGGCGGGAGCGGCGCGTTCCGCCGGAGGAGTGCGGCGGGGACACCCGGAGGGCGGGCGGGCGCTCCGCGGGCGGGGGCGGAAAGCAGCGCCGGGTTTGCGCGTAGCTGAGGGGTAATTGGGGAATAGGGGTTGGGTGTGCGTTTGGGTTGGTGGTGTGCCTTGAGGTTTTGGGGCGGCTGGGCATGCCTCAGTGCGTGCTCGGTGTCGCTTGCGCGGGGCAGCGCGACCGCCCGTGGTGCGGGTCGGGCCCGGCGCGGAGAGGAGCGGAGCGGTGCGGCCCCCACCCGGCGCCGCGCAGGTTCGGAGGCAAGCGCCTGCCCCGGCCCGCCTTCGCCCGGTTCGGCCTTATATTTAATACATGCCCTTTCATCTATAATTCAGGCTGCTCTGACTCCAGCCCTGTCTCGGCTCCCATTTACGCCTGCACACCTTTCTCCTTCCCTTTCCCGAAGGGTCAACCGAGACACTCGCCAAGGGAGGGAGAGAGCTACTCTGCTGGTTTGGGTTTTGTCTGCTTAAACATTGAACTGGAAAAGATTCCTCCTCTCTGTGGTTTGATAAATAATAAAACTGATCGTTTTGCCTTCCCCATAAATGACACAGGTAAATTATCCAGCTAGCCACAAAGAAGCATCATATGCCTGGAAGACACTGTAATAAAATGCCAATGTATTATGATATGAGTGACCTCAAAAGTGTGACAAGAAGATGATTATAGTGCATTATCTATAGTGCATTATATGTAGTGCCTTTTTCAACGTTTTCTGAAGCATGAATGAACCTTTATTTGACTGTGCTTTTATTGCTAGCTTTTCTCAGCTTGAACTTACAAGCTGAATGATAGAACCTATCCAATTTAGTATGCCCAGGTACGTGGCCAAGCTGACTGCTGCTTCTTGTTAAGCCTTTCAAATATATATGCATAGAAAAAAAACAAAGATAACATCAGCATTTGACTTTTTCTGTATGAGGTACTATCTCATTTGCGCATTTTCAGTGTATAGCATTGGTGAGCTACAGACTGGAGTCCTACCTTGAAGATTTTACATTTTCAGATGCAGGCTCTTAGACTCCCATATATATATGCACATAGGATGCACTATTAACAAATGGTTGAAGCTGCTTGTACCTCTCAGAGGTCAGTAATTTGCACGGCTTGGAATTGTGTGCTACATACTGATAAATGTACATATCCTTGCAAGTCGTATGGCTGCAGACACTGTATGTGAGCATTGCACATCCTGTAATCCCATGATGCGTAAAGATTAAACACTCCCAGTTTTGCTGTGCTTTGTAGTTGTGTCCAAAATACTCTTGTTACAGATAGGCACAGAAAAAAACACCCTGGTTTTGATGACATCAAGTAACGTTAGAAAACAGAACTGGATCTAATAATAGTTTAAGGAAAATGTTCATTATGTAATACAAGGAGGATGGCTAGAGCCTCAGCACTGAAAGTCAAGCAAGTGACATGAAGGAGCAACCTTACTGCCAAACCACTTAGAAAAAGAATTCTGTGAATGAATTAAGTATGCAGTTCTTTTGTCTTTTAAAATACAAAGCAGAACAGCCATTAATAAAGGAGATAATTAGAACTGCTAGCATTCTCTGTAATGCAGTCTGCTTCTGAAATACGGCATGTTTATGTATGCATTAATAATACACACATTTTTCCTGACACTAGTCATATCACAGCAGTATGGCATCACAGACGTTTTATAGCCTCATTCTAGTAACATCACAGACATATAACATTCTTATTCTAATCACACCATAGTCATTTCAATGTCACATTGTAGTCACATCACATAGCCTGGTAATAATTATTTAACTTTATTGCTAAGCTGAATAGTTTTCTGTTTGCTCAGGGATGACTTAAACCTGTAGTCAGAACCTATTAGCACATGCTCATAAATGAGCTCTTCTCATGTACACAGGATTAGACTCATGAAAAGTTAGGAAGAGAAAAAAAAAATCAGTGAACTAGTGTCTGTTGGACTTAAATCCAATGCAATCACAAGTCACAATAATAGCACATTTTTGCTGTTTTCAGAAGTAATTTTAGAAAGCCAACAATGTTTACATGTAGATCTGTCATGTTAATGTTTATGTGCTTGCTTTAAAACGCTGTAGTTCTTTAACTAATCATACATTATTAACCTCATGGAAGAGGCACGTCTTCATACTGTTGTATTTGCACACCAGATTGTAAAATTGAGGCCCAGAGTACCAAAGGGGCTAGAACTGCCACAGCTGCTTCTAATAATGGTAGAAAAAGAACAGAAAGGGCTGAATTCCTGAGCAGGAGCTGGAATCACCCAGTGCAACATTAATGCCACCTCTGCTGTGTGAGGAACTGCTCTGAGACATGTCCTGTGCTCACTTGAGTAGCCATGTTTATCCTCTGGTAGATGTTTATTCCAATGTTCTTATATTTGAGAAAACTGCAGTACTCGATGTCACATACACCTCAAAAGCAGCTGTGGTGCTGTTATTTGTACTGCTGCTTAATAGTTGCCTTTCTTTACCATCATGGGTTAGCCTTTTGTCTATATATAGGAACACTGTAAGCATAATCACATCACAACCTATTAAAATGACTTCTGTATTATAACTTACTAACTATTCATCCACATCATTGCTTGTTATCTTCGCCTCCATATTATTATGTATCAAATTCTTTTCCATATCATATTTGACTCAAATTCTAGCATGCTAGAAACCGACTCCAATTATTCTGTACTAGCTATAGTCAAATTGCACTAAATGGAATTGCTTACATTGTATCACAGTGGCTACAGGCTCACACAATGCATTATACATGAAACTGATTCACATTATGCTTAGCTAACTAAAGACTTTAATCTTGAAGTGTTGAGCATAAAATGCTATCATTCTTCACTGAACTGGCTCTGGTCACTTGATCATTTTGTACCTGGGATTGCCTCTTCCAGGCTGTTATTATTAAAGCAAAATGGCTTTTCCTTTCCTGCAGTTCTACCACTTTCTGTGGAGAGCTGATTCATATGCTAATGAATGAGCTTTCTTATTTCATGGCAGAGCACTGCAACACTGGAACCTGACCTATGGTGCACCTATAGGATGTCCCCTTCAGTGCAGCATAGCGAAAAAATGCATTATAAAAATCCGCTTGTGTGTTCAGATAGCAGGTTATATGCTAACTATTGAACAATCCTTAATATTATCCCCAGAGATCTTTTTTTTCTGTATGTTGCTAAAGTCATTAGGAAATACATCCTTAGTCCCGTCTCCAATAGGAAGTATTCAAGGCCATGTTGCCAGTTCTGCTGAGGTCTCTCAGGATGTGGTTGTCCCTGGAAGAAGAGATTAGCCGTTCAGTGTGGCAGGTAAAGAAGTGAAGACTCCCTGTTACAGACAGTTTTAAATCCATGAAGCAGTCCACCTCCACAGGGCAGACATTCACTCTGCTCTAACTGGCATTGGCTTTGCTGTATCCCTGATTTCAGCTTCTGCCACAATTCAGTCTCACAGTAACCTGAGGAAACCCACTTCTTACAAGAAGCATTGGGCCAAAAAGTGATGCCTATAATCTGCTGCACTCCTAACCCCCAAAACTTCAGGGCATCTGTGAAGATGAGAGAGGAGTGCCACAGAGTCAGGAGCAGCATATGGAGAGGATTGTGGAGCCCATGTTTTCTTCATATCCTTACAAGCATGTTTCTCCTTGCAAGCATGATGCTTTAGTGCAGACTTTGTACATGTAATGGCTTGTAATTCAGGAGCTTGCATCAGAGTTACCTCGTCTTCTTGGGTAGAAGGATTGGACCTGCAGTCTTTATTTACATGAATGAAGTCAATTAAAGTGTTTTGGACAATGTAAACCATATGTAACTACAGAATTTGAAAAAGCCAGGTTAATTGAATAATAAATTATATTTATTTAATAAACTCATTTTTGCAATTTCAAAATGTATTTAATTGTTTTTCAGAATGGTTGCGAGAGCTCTAGGAAAAGAAAAACGCTTAAGTGAGCAGTTCAGGACTATATAATAATCTGTACTCTTAAATAAACAGCAGTAGCTAAGTCAGTTAATGATTAATAATTTAAGCCAATTGAGCTGCTGAGATGGGGCAAGAGTTGCAGAATTGGGACCTTTTAATGTGTCTTTCTTCAGGAAAATAAACTCAGTCCCTGGATAATCAAATCACAAAAGGGGCAGGTGATGACCTTCATTCCATTTGAATGGCAGAACTAAATTTAAGTGAATTTGCCATTTTTTTTGACTGACAAAGATTGCAAATGTCAGTTCATGGCTCTGAAGGGTCTAGAAGTGCACAAGCTGAAAGCTGGCATTTTGCAGTGCCAGTGTTTAATCCCTGTCACTGTACAATACAACAAGGTGCCCAACTCCCATTAATTATTGCTGTTTATTTAAAGGTACAGATTAATATGAAAGTTTGAATTGTTTGCTTGAAAGTGTGTGGGGGGCTTTTTCATCCCTCACAGGGCTTTAGTGTCTATTTGCTATAATACTAAAAATCCATTTGGATATAACTAAAAGAGAATAATAAATGCTGTTTAAAATGTAATTATTGGAACACTTAGATGCAATTTCATGTGGCACATGAAAAAGAAAAAAAGAAAGCTTAAATCTTTGCTACACTCACGTCATCTTTTATGAAGGAAGTACATGATGAATCAGAACATGGAAACAGATTCCAACCAATGTGCTTCTGTGTAAGGCAAAAATATTCCAGAACCTGCAAGTAACCTGATGTCTTATTGATGCTTTACTGTTTAAAAGGAGTAGAAGAAAAAAGAAAGGAAGGCTTTCAGGCAAAAAAAAAAATACTCGATGAAAGCTTTTCTGAAGCATTTTCATTTCCATCAAAACACTAATGTAGATCTAATAGATGGAGTTATGCTGATGCAATGTTGACAGGATCAGAATGAGACCCAAAACGTGGAATGAGACCTCCTTCAGGCATTATCGTAGTTTACTAAAACAGGCATTTACTTTGTTTTTCGGCTTTCAACTTATGACCTGCTCCTTGCTTGCACAGAAAACAGAAAATGCTCAATTTAAATCAATATATATACTCACACTAACTTATATTAGTGAGATTGACATCTTTACACCCAGATTTGAACCTAAATATCTTTTTTCAGTCCTACTCCTCTGTCACTCATGCCTCACCATTTACGAAAGGTTACTAAGGCAGTAAACCTTGATTAAACCTTATGTCCTCTGGGAAATAAAAACAAAACTTTTTTGATGTAGACATAGCTTTATTCCTTAAATTACAAAGGCAGGCAGACAGATGACTAATTGCTGTTTAAAAGCATCATGTTGTTATGATCACTTCTTCTTATTTCTAACACTTCTGCATTTCTTAACATTCCAGTTAAACCAAGGCTTCTATGGTTTTGAGGTTTTATCTCTTGAGAGTTGTATGTTTAGTGTCCTGGTGGTAGAAATATTGCAAGAGCTGCACCCTTTCATTGAGCAGATGATGCCCATCTATTTGCCATGCATATGCACTGAAGTGAAGACCACAGATTCCTGTACTGCATCCCTTTTCTGTGCCCCAGTGGCCTGGCTGTGGTTTTAAAAGACCCTTTGTTCTTCTGGGCTCAAAAGCTGTAAAAGAGAAGGTGTGTGCCCTCCTCCATGGGCAGCAGTACCCTGACTCTGTACATGCCACCATGTTCTGGGGAAGTACTTTGATGTAATTTTGGCTTTCTGGAGGCCAGTTTCTCTCTGAGCTCCTCTTTATATGGAAGCCAGAATTCTGCAGAATGCTCATGCAGTGCTGAGCCTGAAAGAAAGGATTGATCCAAATGAAATTATTCTCACAAAAACAATGG